GCCCCCCTCAGCTCCTGCCTCCCACTCCCCGCGGCGCTGGCGCCGGGGAGGCCTCCGCTCCCTTTCCGTGTGAAAGAAACCCGCCTGTGTTCCCCCCTCACGGGAGTGTCTGTGAGCACAGCCCAGCGCGGCCCCTCGGGCTGGCTGGAGAAGAGGCCCCTGCCCGTCGCCTCCGGGACGCGGGCTGCCTTGCTGGTGGGTGTTGCACTGTGGGCGCTGCTTGGCGCTCGCCAAGCGAGAGACGTGCCCTGTGTGAAGTTTTCAGATCATGAGGAGCGGCTGTCGGGAAGCGAGAAGGAGGAGGATGAGGACGATGTTGAGGCTGCCCTGAAGAAGGAGGTTGGCCAGATCCGCGCCTCGACGGAGCAGAAGCTGCGGCGGTTCCAGTCGGTGGAGAGTGGCGCCAACAACGTGGTCTTCATTAGAACCCGGGGCATAGGTGGGACGTCAGCGGACTCTGCGTAATGCTGTGGGGATAAACCGCTCTGGACAGCGTTAGTAACAGGCCGCAGAGCGTGACTTCCAAGGAAGTCGTGCATACCAAACAAATGCAGTGTTTCCCCTTCCCTTTGGCATTGCGGTTCCAGTCGGTGGAGAGTGGCGCCAACAACGTGGTCTTCATTAGAACCCGGGGCATAGGTGGGACGTCAGCGGACTCTGCGTAATGCTGTGGGGATAAACCGCTCTGGACAGCGTTAGTAACAGGCCGCAGAGCGTGACTTCCAAGGAAGTCGTGCATACCAAACAAATGCAGTGTTTCCCCTTCCCTTTGGCATTGCCACTGAATTTGTCATTAGTGGAGTTGCTAAAGGTAGAGGAATCTCCCTTGACAAAATAATCTTTGAATATCCAGTTTTGGTACGGTAAACCAACTGTTTACAGGGAAGGATTTGAGGCTGACAGCAGTGCAGCCAAGCGTGCATTTCCCCAGCTTATTATTTAAAATGGGGGAAAAAGGGAGAAAATGCTCTCAATTTATTTCTCATACCTAGTTGTTGGGTTTTTTTTGTAGAACCTGAGAACCTGGTGCACCATATATTAAAGGATATGCATGCCACTAAGAAGAAGAAAACAAGAGTCATTCTGCGCATGCTGCCCATTTCTGGAACTTGCAAGGCTTTTATGGAGGATATGAAAAAATACACGGAAACGTTTTTTGAGCCTTGGTTTAAAGCCCCTAATAAGGGTACTTTTCAGATTGTTTACAAAGCTCGTAATAACAGTCATATGAGTAGGGAAGAAGTAATTAAGGAATTAGCAGGTATGTATGGATTTCACACAAAACTAAGAACAAGTATATAAGCAGCCCACACCTGCATGCATAACATAGGTCAGATTATTAAAAGTGGTCTTAATGGGCACATGTATTTGTTGCTTAAAATCCGTATGTTGAATTACAAAAGCTTCTCTGAGACTTAAAAAGCTTGGCATCAATGTTCTTTGTTGGTGTTGATGTCATAAGAGACAAGAAGCAGAAGAGAGTACAGCATTGAATAGAATTTGGAGTGTCAGTTATATGTGCTTTGAAATGACTGCTATCAGGCATTCTCTGGATGCTATGTTGAAATAATGTGTTGCTACTTGCACTGCCTCCATATGACGCATAAAATAGCTCTGTTTTGTTTAGAGTATTTTGTTTCTTGGTAATTGCAGTGGGATAGTTTTTCAGTTACTTCAGTCCTACTGGTGGTATACTCTGAGAATCCTGGTTTGTTCTGCTATTTTAAGATATTACAAAAATGAGTAATTGGTTACAAGTAAGGGGGATGTTGCTTTCTCTCTTAAGTTTTATCCTTTCAACAGGGCATGCTTATGCTCTGAAGCCATTTTTCTAGCATCTTTTAAACTACATCTTGTTTTACAGGAATTGTGGGCAGCCTCAATCCAGAAAACAAAGTCGATCTTAATAACCCACAATATACAATTGTGGTGGAAATAATAAAAAATGTCTGTTGCTTGAGTGTGGTGAGAGACTATGTTCTGTTCAGAAAATACAATCTGCAGGAGGTGGTGAAGAGCAACAAAGATGACACACAACAAAACCCATCGAGTCTGACAGAAGAACAGAACTCAAACGTAGTAAAACCAGAAACTGAGGAGGAGAAGAGCTCAAAAGAAGTAAAAGAAGAGAACAAGAATCAAGTTGAAACAGAAGCTGAGCACAAGGGGAATGATGTGCTGACGGTGTAGAAAATGTGGTAGAAGGGAAAGATAAACACAATCAAAACCTATTAAAAAAAGTTGCCCTAGAGTTCTGACAGGGCGTTTTGAAGAAGAGAGTGGGTTTTGCTTTGAAATCTTGTTTTCAGAACCCATGTGTAAGAATTTTAATGCCGTTGCAGGTGGAGCTGACATTACAGCAGAGTCAGAGCGCTCAAGAGTGCATCACCTTTCTGGTGAAGCTTGCTGTCATTCTTCCACAGCTTTGTTCTGCATTGCCTTTACCTAGCACAAAAAGCATGAGTGTGTGCATGCATATGTAAATGTGGCCATCCTGATGTATGTTGACTCTCTTGTTACAATATCTGATGGCTACAGAAATCAAAAGGCAGTGCAGAACCAGCTCTATCTGGAAGTATTGACACAAGCAAGAGCTCTGGAAAAGACAGTTTCTTGCAGAGGGTTTTTAAGGAAGTGATCCGACAACTTGTGTGACTGCAGAACTCTTACATTTTCCTGTGTGAACAACAGAATGAGCTAAAACTGATTGTTTCCTGTATGATGGAGGGGCTTTTTGCTATATCTACACATACGCTAAGTCTTGGAAGTGAATGGGAGGAAATGCTAAGATCAAAATACTTGAATATTATGAGATGATTTAGAGTAATAGTTTGGACTGTTCTAGAACGGTAAAAGTACAGTGCAGGCATTGCGGGTGGTTTTAGCAAAAACTACACCTGTGTTTACATTAGCTGTGTATACAGCAGTTACTGGTTTATAGGAAATGGTGTAGTCACTGAACAAAATCCTTTTCAGTAATTTCCTGCGAACAGCCTTCTGCTGCTCTTTCCAAAGACTTAATCCTTGGGGGGTTTTATAAAGTCTTTGTAGTTTTTTTTTTTTCTTAGGTCTCAAAATTTGAATTTAAATACTGCTTGGAAACTTCTTATCAAAGAAGCTCTCCATTATACCATACTGGATAAGGGGAATTAAATTTAATTTTTGGTAGTTTTAGCTTTACAGTATTAATTTTATTTCAGATTGAAAGTAATGTTAGTGAGTCTTTCTGTTGTCTGTGTGTTACAGCAACTCTTTTGATATCCCAGTGACTTTTCAAAAACAGCCAAACCCAGTGCAGCTATAACCTGCTTTCCAGTAGGGTTCTGAGTATGCTTCCTATACAACTGTCTAGCTTTAGTATTACATTTCTGGCATGAAAGTCATGTTGAGTTAACCACTCGTTACTTGTCTTGGTTTAGTGAAAAAGATGTGTTCAAGTCTCTCAACAGTGTTTAATTTATATTTTCCTCTTCTCTCAAAATTGTTTTTGAAGTTGGAAAATTAAGATGACTTTTTTCCCTAGTCCTGTCTCCCTTACTGCCCATTTATTAAAAATCTGCTTTCTTACCTCCGTCGGTGTTTTCTGTAAATTTTAAAGCTTATCGTATGTATGTGAATTAAAACCATCAATGTCTAGGTCACACATAGGAAAGAACCATTTGAGACCAGACACAAAAGCCAACAGTGCATGTTTATTGGTGGCCAGTATCAGTGAGCAGGATTCAAGACAGCCTACTTACCTCACTAAGGACAGACTGATGGATAGTGCATGGTGAGTTTTACTTGCTACTATCTCTCACTCATCTGTGCATCTGCAGGACCTACAGGTCTTCAGAAGAAATTGCTGAATAGCTACCAGCCATTTGTCAAGCCTATGTCTGACGTTTAGATGCTGCCTACGCTGCAGTCTTAAAGATGTCTGCATTCTTCTGATTTTTCATAATTTGCACTTACTGAACATTCATTGTTAACACAGCAATTCCTAAATCTTGAGGCTTGCACGATTCATACAAGCAGGGTGCTTGATTTGGATGCATCCAAGATCTGTTGCCATTTCTGGGAACTTAATTACATACTATCATGATTTCCTCATTAACAAGCCTCTTGAGTTAAAATACCTTGTCTCAAAGAATGAACACACTGCTCCTTCATGTGGTAATCACTTCTGCTGAAATTCTAAAAAGTGTTAGGTGGCTGCAAGATTTGTTTGCATATGCCTTGATAAGGCTTGATTTTTGTTAAGCAAGAACATAAGCATTCAAAAACTGTACAGCTGGAGTCTTCAAACCTTGTGTGTTGTTAAACAATCGCTGCCTAAGAGGTGAAATACAATTCTATGTTGGTGCTTATGGTTGTAATAGAAAAACTCCATCATGAATGAAATTGATAGGGATAGGCTTTTTTAGATTGCTTATCAAAACTAAATCTGTCCCCATTCCTTGCTCCTCAGTTCATGCCGTCTGATTTTCCCAGTGACTGTCTTTGGCAGCTGCTGGACAAATTCAATCTGATTCAAAAGAGGAAAAAAGTAAAATGAGCAAATGTAATTTACGATTTTTTTTTTTCAGAACAACACTGGTCTCCATCCCACTTAATTTAAATAAGAATTTGGTGACTGGGGAAATAACTCCCAATTTGGTTTTAGATTGTGTTGTATCTATTATTTTCCAAGATCATCTATAAAATAATACTTGTCATTTTCCTTGCATAGCACATATTTGGGCTTTTTTTTTTTGTTACTGCATTTGTTCTGAGTCTAATGTACTGTTTCTGGCCTCCCCATGGTTAAGACAGATGTTTGGGATTTTTATTTTTTAATACACTGGTGTTTACTTGCCTTTCTGGGATACTTGTATGGAGCAGTGACTTTCTTGACATGATCTTGCAGTTCACAGGCCAGTTTCTTTAGATCTTGTGACTTAAAGGAGGGAGACAAGACCACAAAAGCTTTTACCACCTGCAAAGGGAAAATAAATAAAAAATTCAGCATTAAACTAGAGCGACCTAACAAATGAGGCAATTAATTGAGGAGTAATGCCTGCAGTACAGGCTTGCTGTATCACACCTGTGCTGTAGAGCAAAATTCGCTTTTGTGAAAGGAAGTTTAAAATTAGGACAGAAGACTGTTTCTACCTTACGTTAGTAAAGGTCCTAAGTAATACGTGATAAAAGTTGCAAACTCTGCTTCCAAATTTGTAAGAGTTCTGTAAAGGACTGTTGTAAAGTTCTTAGATGCTAGGGCCTTTTCTGTAAACATATGTTGTAAAGAATGTAATTCTCCAGGCAGTGGGTCAAAGTGTACCTCAGTTCTTACCAGAGTCACCGTTATACTCAGTGTTGTGTTCTTTACGAAACTAAGGATTATATTTTCATTAAGAAAAAAGGAATACAGGATACACAAACTACTGCTCCCCTTGCTTGGGTAAAGTGATGGAAACATTTGTATAGCTATATTAAAAGGTCTTATGAATTCAGTGGAAGTTGAGTGTAAGCTCTGTCACACAAGGCACTTTACGAGCAGGAGACTGAGCACTAATTACCTCTCCTCTGGTGGGATCTGGGCTGCTGACAACTGCTGACTCGGCAACAGCTGGGTGCTGTATGAGGGCACTCTCTACTTCAAATGGTCCGATACGATACCTAGGAGAGAAATTATATGCTTAGTAGGTGAAAGGTATATGGTTATTTTTTAGACATTTCTTGGCATTTTAACTGAAATCTACAAACCCAGAGGAGATGATGACATCATCGGATCTCCCCATAAACCATATGTATCCATCCTCATCCATGCTCCCTCTGTCTCCAGTGATATAGAAGTTCCCACGGATTGTGGAAGCAGTTTTCTCTGGATCATCCTGTTGGACAAGCAACAATTAAATATTTTAAATACTGAGAAGCCTTCAGCTTAAAGATGAGTTTTGTCTCTTTGAACACCACCCATAGTATCTTTCATTGCTTGTTTTCTGGCTCTAGAATGTAAGAGCTTGTGCTTGATTTTTCCAGAGGCGAAAACTTATCATAAGGGCAGACACAGAACTGAAGATCACACAGTAGGTGTGCAGAGGAATGGGGGAGAGAATGGAAGTTTCGTAAGTCAGAACGCTGTCAAGCCAAGTCAAGAAGAGCCACAGCTCTTTGGTGTTGCGCCTGCTCCTGTTGGTATGAATACATACCATGCTGCCGGCCTGAACTGGCTCTCCGGAAATTCTCTTTTGGCTTACCACGTATTGAGTGAAAAACGGAAATGGCCGCTTGGGACTCATATTGATAGCAATGTCTCCTTCTTTCCCAGGAGGCAGAACACTGCCATTTTCATCTACAATCTGCAATAGGAAAGGCAAATGGGTGATTATAACGTCCCATTTTAAGAGCGTAATGTTCTAAAATTAACCAGAAATTAACAGAATATTAACAGAAAGGGGACCACCATACCTGAACATCGTAGGGGGGAGCTGCCTTTCCCAAGGAACCTGGCTTAATTTTCATTCCTTTTATATTTGCACATACCATTCCCTGTTGGAAAAGACAAACAAGCAGCCCAGGTATTTTTCACTGTCATTCTTGAGGCTATTCCTGTTCTTGTACTATGCCCACTGTTGAGCTAGCTGTAAGATCTAAATCTTCCATCTGTGTGAGCCGAAACACTTGTGAACTTCACTGGGAGTCTTGGACAAAAAGTTCAAGATATTTTACAGCTTAAGCAGTCTTAGAAGCAGCATCTTAATGAAGCCTTAATGCTAAGCAAAACAATAAACCTTCTTGTAGGCAACTGCCACGTATTCTAATGCCATTTTTCTTTTTAGTCAAACATATATGGCTATGTTACATATTTACTAAGAGGAATGAGATACCTAAGTCTCCTAAGTGATAGCTGAGTTGTAACCCTTTACAAAAAAGCTGAACGTACAGTTTCGGTTTGGCCGTAGGCTTCATAGATAGTCAGTCCCGTTTGGCTTTTCCACTGTGCCATCACTTCTGGGTTGAGTGGTTCCCCTCCAGCCACACAGTGCTTCAGTGCCTTGAATGTATGCCTTCATAGACAAAGGACATTGCTGAGCATCAGACAAGAGAAAGGGACAAATTCTGTTCTCCCTGACATGCCTATGTCCAACCCCATGACTTCAGGACACACCAGACTCTCTCAGAGTTAGCGCTGAGAGAAAGCCTAGAGCTCCAGCTGGAGTGGGGCTGGAGACAGGCTGCCAAAGCAGTGAGCTGCAAGATGCCCAGGACTGATGGCAGTGCAGCCACACAGGTGCCTTCACGGGCTGAATACCAGCCTCTGTGTTTACTGTCTGTAATGCCTCGGGGAAAAATTTGCTCAGGGTTGGAGGTGCATGAGGGGTGGATTTTGTCACCTCTCTCTGCAGTGCTAAGAAAAGGCTCTGCTTCCTCACAGGCCCTGCCTCCAACACAGAATTTCCACCACTCTGAGAGTTTAACTGGCTATGAGGGCCCATAGAAATCACTGTTAAAGAGGCAGGCAATAGCTTGAACGGACACAGCACGGTTGCTTGTTAACAGACGC